TTTTCTAAGTTTGAATTCTTTCATAACTCTGCTTATAACGTTCGCACTAGTGCCAAAATTATTTTCAAAAATCAAAAATACGTTTCTTTCTGTTATTCATGTGTTTATTTGAACGTTCGCTGATTGCCACTATTTAGGATTTTAGTTTGCGGTTACAATTGCTACTAAAAACCACAAACTACATACCAGGAGTAAAAACAAACAAATATTTGAAGTTTGTAAAATTCAAAAAACAACAAATACGATTGTTACTAATGATTAAGTATCACCAGTAGTGCTTGGCGTTATACCCCTAAACTAGAGATTCGTCTAGAATGACTAGTTACCGAACTAGCCACGGTTTTAGCACTTCTTTAGAAGAAGGAGAAGAAGGTAATTGATTTTACAAAGATGCAGTGTAAAGTTTGTATTGAAGACCATACTATTGATTACATTAATAATCGGATTCCTGTTAGATTACCAGTGGTGGCTTAAGTAATCAGTTCACGATATTTCTTAAACGAGGATGCACTCAAAATTGCCGATTAACCAAAAAATCTAAAAATTGGAATTATAAAATTACTATCCCTGTATATATTTGCTACCTGTACAACTACTGGGCATTTGTATACAAAGTGGAGTAGAGTAGAGGTAGTAGTAACCAATACTAATACAAGACTATTAAAAAACAAATAGGTTTTATTGTTTTTTTTTTTCATTATTTAAAAATTTCATTCGTTTACGTACAAAATGCTGATAACAGCAACTGAAAACCAACCATCAGATTACGAATTTTTCAGTTTTTTTTTCTTCCACTCTTTTTCAATTTTGTATTTATTTATATAAAATATTCTAAAGCAAGCAAAAGCGCGTAAAAAAGCACTCATTTGTTAGAAAAACCTTTGCAAATGAACTAGTAGAGCAATAATTGTGTTTTTTTAAAAAAAATTAATTGTTTTAAAACCTTTTTTGTTTTTTATCAGTAGTATTAAATAACGTGACGTGTTTAAAACGTTAATCCACCTTAACGTCTACAAATGGCTGTGTTAAATTTTAAAAATATAAATAAAAAACTTTAAAAATATACATATTACAAAACATATTAAATAAATTACACTAAAAATATGTAAAATTTAAAATTAATTCTTGTTTTAACAAAAAAAAAAAAAAACACAACAATAAACCAAAGAAGTATTATTAAAACAAACAACAACACAAGGAAAAGGCACAAAGTTTTACTTTAACAAAAAAAAAAAAACAACAATAAAAATAATCATACCACTTGAAAAGCACCACCTGGAAACTTAAAACAACAAAGCCAAGAAAATAGGCTGAAAATACAACAACAAGAAGAAACACTTTACTTTGAACTTTGTATCAAGCAATTACGAACGAACCCACCTTTTTTGTAGAAAATTCATCACACACACTCACAACTATTATTAAGTCATCACACCCACCACCCCCTTAACAACAGAATCACTCGCCAATAAGCCCCCCCAACATCTAGACTTCAACACACAAATGAAAGATATTGAAACATCAGCGTCTGCACCGAACAGTTCAACATCATTTGTATTTAAATGTATTATAAAAACTGTACGCTTTATGTGGCAAGTTACAGCGTTACCGACAAAAATTGGTGAAACTATTGGTACCTTTTACCGTTATGCACAGACCTCAGTCGATAGTATATTATGTGTAGCTGGGTAAGCAATCGCAATTCTGCTGGGGTAGCCATGTTACACTTACACTATAGCACAAATATCTGAAATATCACTTAAAAGTTGCACCAAAATGACGATTTTGGAGTCTTCATTAACTATAGTAGAGACTTTAGTCTAGCCTGTAGTCTAGACTATAGTTTAGTCTAAAGTTTAGCCAGTAGTGGGGGTTATGGTCTAGTCTATATGGACCAGTTTATAGTCGTGTTTTTTTTTTTTTTTGTGTAGTCAGGACTATAGTCGAAACTAAAGGACAGCCTATTGACTAGTCTAGTCAGTCTATAGTCTAGTCTATAGTCTAGTCTATAGTCTAGTCTATAGTCTAGTCTATAGTCTAGTCTATAGTCTAGTCTATAGTCTAGTCTATAGTCTAGTCTATAGTCTAGTCTATAGTCTAGTCTATAGTCTAGTCTATAGTCTAGTCTATAGTCTAGTCTATAGTCTAGTCTATAGTCTAGTCTATAGTCTAGTCTATAGTCTAGTCTATAGTCTAGTCTATAGTCTAGTCTATAGTCTAGTCTATAGTCTAGTCTATAGTCTATAGTCTAGTCTATAGTCTAGTCTATAGTCTAGTCTATAGTCTAGTCTATAGTCTAGTCTATAGTCTAGTCTATAGTCTAGTCTTGTCTATAGTCTAGTCTTGTCTATAGTCTAGTCTTGTCTATAGACTAGACTAGTCTATAGTCTAGTCTATAGTCTAGTCTATAGTCTAGTCTATAGTCTAGTCTATAGTCTAGTCTATAGTCTAGTCTATAGTCTAGTCTATAGTCTAGTCTATAGTCTAGTCTATTGTCTAGTCTAGTCTATAGTCTAGTCTATAGTCTAGTCTATAGTCTAGTCTATAGTCTAGTCTATAGCCTAGTCTATAGTCTAGTCTATAGTCTAGTCTATAGTCTAGTCTATAGTCTAGTCTATAGTCTAGTCTATAGTCTAGTCTATAGTCTAGTCTATAGTCTAGTCTATAGTCTAGTCTATAGTCTAGTCTATAGTCTAGTCTATAGTCTAGTCTATAGTCTAGTCTATAGTCTAGTCTATAGTCTAGTCTATAGTCTAGTCTATAGTCTAGTCTATAGTCTAGTCTATAGTCTAGTCCTATAGTCTAGTCTATGTCCTAGTCTATAGTCTAGTCTATAGTCTAGTCTATAGTCTAGTCTATAGTCTAGTCTATAGTCCTAGTCTATAGGTCTAGTCTATAGTCTAGTCTATAGTCTAGTCTATAGTCTAGTCTATAGTCTAGTCTATAGTCTAGTCTATAGTCTAGTCTATAGTCTAGTCTATAGTCGAGTCTATAGTCTAGTCTATAGTCTAGTCTATAGTCTAGTCTATAGTCTAGTCTATAGTCTAGTCTATAGTCTAGTCCTATAGTCTAGTCTATAGTCTAGTCTATAGTCTAGTCTATAGTCTAGTCTATAGTCTAGTCTATAGTCTAGTCTATAGTCTAGTCTATAGTCTAGTCTATAGTCTAGTCTATAGTCTAGTCTATAGTCTAGTCTATAGTCTAGTCTATAGTCTAGTCTATAGTCTAGTCTTAGTCTAGTCTTGTCTATAGTCTAGTCTTGTCTATAGACTAGACTCTATAGTCTAGTCTATAGTCTAGTCTATAGTCTAGTCTATAGTCTAGTCTATAGTCTAGTCTATAGTCTAGTCTATAGTCTAGTCTATAGTCTAGTCTATAGTCTAGTCTATAGTCTAGTCTATAGTCTAGTCTATAGTCTAGTCTATAGTCTAGTCTATAGTCTAGTCTATAGTCTAGTCTATAGTCTAGTCTATAGTCTAGTCTATAGTCTAGTCTATAGTCTAGTCTATAGTCTAGTCTATAGTCTAGTCTATAGTCTAGTCTATAGTCTAGTCTATAGTCTAGTCTATAGTCTAGTCTATAGTCTAGTCTAGTCTATAGTCTAGTCTATAGTCTAGTCTATAGTCTAGTCTATAGTCTAGTCTATAGCCTAGTCTATAGTCTAGTCTATAGTCTAGTCTATAGTCTAGTCTATAGTCTAGTCTATAGTCTAGTCTATAGTCTAGTCTATAGTCTAGTCTATAGTCTAGTCTATAGTCTAGTCTATAGTCTAGTCTATAGTCTAGTCTATAGTCTAGTCTATAGTCTAGTCTATAGCCTAGTCTATAGTCTAGTATAGTCTAGTCTATAGTCTAGTCTATAGTCTAGTCTATAGTCTAGTCTATAGTCTAGTCTATAGTCTAGTCTATAGTCTAGTCTATAGTCTAGTCTATAGTCTAGTCTATAGTCTAGTCTATAGTATAGTCTATAGTCTAGTCTATAGTCTAGTCTATAGTCTAGTCTATAGTCTAGTCTATAGTCTAGTCTATAGTCTAGTCTATAGTCTAGTCTATAGTCTAGTCTATAGTCTAGTCTATAGTCTAGTCTATAGTCTAGTCTATAGTCTAGTCTATAGTCTAGTCTATAGTCTAGTCTATAGTTTAGTCTATAGTCTAGTCTATAGTCTAGTCTATAGTCTAGTCTATAGTCTAGTCTATAGTCTAGTCTATAGTCTAGTCCATAGTCTAGTCTATAGTCTAGTCTATAGTCTAGTCTATAGTCTAGGTCTATAGTTCTAGTCTATAGTCTAGTCTATAGTCTAGTCTATAGTCTAGTCTATAGTCTAGTCTATAGTCTAGTTATAGTCTAGTCTATAGTGTAGTCTATAGTCTAGTCTATAGTGTAGTCTATAGTCTAGTCTATAGTGTAGTCTATAGTCTAGTCTATAGTCTAGTCTATAGTCTAGTCTATAGTCTAGTCTATAGTCTAGTCCATAGTCTAGTCTATAGTCTAGTCTATAGTCTAGTCTATAGTTCTAGTCTATAGTCTAGTCTATAGTCTAGTCTATAGTTCTAGTCTATAGTCTATGTCTAGTCTTGTCTAGTCTATAGTCTAGTCTATAGTCTAGTCTATAGTCTAGTCTATAGTCTAGTCTATAGTCTAGTCTATAGTCTAGTCTATAGTCTAGTCTATAGTCTAGTCTATAGTCTAGTCTATAGTCTAGTCTATAGCCTAGTCTATAGTGTAGTCTATAGTATAGTCTATAGTCTAGTCTTGTCTATAGTCTAGTCTATAGTCTAGTCTTGTCTATAGTCTAGTCTATAGTCTAGTCTATAGTCTAGTCTATAGTCTAGTCTATAGTCTAGTCTATAGTCTAGTGTATAGTCTATTCTATAGTCTAGTCTATAGTCTAGTCTATAGTCTATTCTATAGTCTAGTCTATAGTCTAGTGTAGTCTATAGTCTAGTCTATAGTCTATCATACACTCTAGTCTATAGTCTATCATACACTCTAGTCTATATTCTAGTATATAGTCTATCATAGACTCTAGTCTATAGTCTATCATAGACTCTAGTCTATAGTCTAGTCAATAGTCTAGTCTATAGTCTAGATTATAATCTATTCTATAGCCGAGTCTAAAGTAGAGAATATACTAGACTATAAATAAACTCGACTATAGTCTAGTTTAGCATATAGTCCAATAATGGTCTTTATTCGAGTCTTAAGTCAGTCTATAGTAAAAACTATAGTCTAGTATATAGTCGAGACTATCGTCCAGTCTATCTTTTTCTTCTAAATATATAATAGTTTCTTACGTATTTGTTGTTTATTTAAATATTTGATATCATTTTTATTAATTTATGTTTTTTTCTCTTGTTTAATTACAGAAAAGCTCGTCGTAAAGAACGAGATGGTGATCAAAACTCAACAGATACCAAATTATATTTGGAAGAAAGTGTTTTAGAACGTAAATTACCTGAAGCTGATCTCAAAGCTCTAGTTGATCTACCAGCTGGTTTAGATTATAATGAGTGGCTGGCATCACATAGTAAGTATTTTAAACTTTTGAAAATTTATGAAATAATTTGCAAAGACCATTATTCTCGGTATAATCAAAATCTGAAAACGAAATTTGGAATGAAAAAAACGTAATTTTCGTATAGAACCCACCGTCTTTGTAATTCCCCTCTTTTATTAAACATTGTTAAGACGTAGATTGTAATTTGAAAAAAAAATTAACTACACGTAATAATAATTTTTAATTTAATAGCTAAAAAAAGTTCACAATGAACACAATTTTCACAGAAATCTATAGCGTCGAATGGAAAATGAGGCAACGGAAAACACCTGTTTTAATAATCTTATCTAGAAATTTATTTCCTATACAATAGTATTATAGTATTTACTGTTTATTAATAATTAATTAATTAAGATGACTAGTAGTTATTGGCGTTTATATGTTATAATTTGACCTACTGCAATGTAATTTATGTAAAGCTTTAAAAAGTTAATAATTGCAATTAAACGATTTAATTTCCTTAAACGTTAAAAGGTTAAAGTAAACAAAGAAACGAGTAATAAGGAGAAATATTAAACTTTAATAGAGCAAAACCTTTTTGGAATCATAGTTAAAAGATATTATTACATAACAAGCTTTTTAAGCTTTACAAAATTTTCCAGGGAAAACTTTTTTGTTTGACACAGCTGTGGCCGAGCCTTTACAGGGCAAAGATGCTATTGTGGTGATAATTCACTGCTCTCTCTCTCTCTTAATATTCGGTTTTTCTCATTAAAAACAGTTTTAAGCGGGACTTTGGAATTCTGCAATTTCAAACCAAAGGAACAAGTATTAGGTTAAGAAGGTTTAAAACTACTCGGAAGCCATAACCAAAGATAGAGTAACAAAACACTAGAAAAAAACAAAACAAGAACGTAAGGAAAGAGGAAAAAATCAAGTCAATTTCCAGAGGTTTAAACCTGGATGATTTACCGAAACGATTCCGTAAAGAAAGAATTACAAAAGAATATGAGACGAAGAAATTACTATTTCCCCTGATAAAACCTAGTAGTCTGTGAGTCCCGCAACTTCCCCCAGTTCGTCATAGAACCTTTTTTCCAGCCAATGCTCAATCGTCTTTACATCTTCGCAAATCCTGCAATAGCCCGGTATATTACTTTCCCAAATACTGGTAAAGGCTCTAATGACCCGTTAAGAACCTTCGGATGTGCCTATTCAGTGCTATAAGTATTTTGGTAGCCTATACTTCATGTGTTGATCATAGAGACCTTTGATATTTTGCAATTCATTCTACTAAAACAGGACTGGTTGAAGATGTCACAGAGTCTCTTTCCAAAATCAACCTATAATAATGACAGATGGTTGGTTTCACTCTTCTAATCCTATAATCTATGTCAAGGTTCGAACCTAATCTAGTTAGTTCATCCGCAACCGCATTAACATGCACATTGCAGTACTCCGGCACCCAACATAGTCTAATAGTAAACATTCTCATAATATCCCAAGGCGCGAAAGACTCATAGAGTCTTAGTAGATGCCTAGCCTCTACTCCCGCTACAAAATGTGACAGGTAAAGAATGATGTCCAAGGCTGCTTGTGGAGTACTACTAATGTCATAACTAATTCCAAGAGAGGCACTCCTTTGAGCATCAAAACCTCCCACCAGGCAATACAACCATATGTTGTAAAAGTAGGCCTAACAACCGATGTGTAAATCCAATTTACCATATCTGGTTGTAGACCCCAATTCTTTTCCATAGAATTCTTGCATGTGTAGTAGGCATTGAGTCCCTTTTTCATCTTTTCCTGATTATTTTCTTTTAGTTCCTCTAGGTAAACATAGTTCCATCTCACATTGGCAGTTAAGTTTAATTAGGATTAATGCCCAGTCCTTTAGCTTTCGCCACTGATCGCCCTGACCACATTATCTGCATAAGCCACCATCTTCCTGCCTTTTGATTCAAATAGCTTTAGAATATCGTTAACCGCTAGTAGCCACAATGAAAGAGATAAAACAACTCCCTGTGGCGTCCTCCTAGTAGCTTTTATCCTAAAGGAATGATAACCTAGGCAGTGCCCCCTTTTTTCATAATTTCATAATTCATATTAGTCAATAGATTACTATATATACTTACCCATAAACAAGTCATTAGACTAGTCCATTGGATAGTCAAAAGACTAAGATTGACAGACAATTTTAATAATTTTTATTTAAAACAAACTAAAATCTATTGTTTATTAATATTTATTTGAAATAAATTTAGTTAAGAAATCACGTACCAAACCACTAGGGTTTTAAAATGTCTGTAGGAGTAATATTCTAAACAAACTAGTATTTCTTTTAGTTATTATTTATAAATTAAAATAAAATTATAAAAAAATTGCCATTTTTTGTTAAGAATACAATAACAAATTGTGTTTCTAACCTTGAAAACAACCAGATCTAAGTTTTAAATAAATATTAAAACCAGATTTTTTTTTTCTTACTAAAAGAAATTCTTAAATAATAGAGTTTGAACATTGTGAACGTTAAATTTTTATTTATATAAAAAATTTAAAACAACTTTCATAGCTATAAAAAAAATAAAAAAACATTAACAAAAGATTTGGCAAATATTACATCACAAGTATTATAGTTTTCCATTCAATAAAAAACAACTATACAACAATCTAAAGTTTATTGTTGTCAGAAACTATAAAAAGAAAGAAAAAATTAAAAAATGAAGAAGCGAGTAAAGATTTAAAACCCACAGAAGTCGGTCAGTAAACAGCGCTAAGTAACACCCAAAAGATTCATTCGTAGTTTTTAGCAAATTTACTCGACTAATTTGAATACACAAACATAATTTGCTAATATGTATTGTTGTTGTTATTTATTTTCACTTTCTTTCTATAAAAATATAAAAAATAAATAAAAATACAAGAAGACCAACCGTTCCAACACAAGCCACTGGATTTTGAATTGAAATTTATGCAAATTTGTTTAATGTTTCTTTATATTTATTAGTCATTCTCTTCTTTTAAGGCAAATTGATTTATATTTTAAATTTGTTTATAACCGGAGTAATTGATTAATGAATATTTATAAAAAAGAATTAATAAAGTTGTATTATTAACTTTCTTTTTCTCTCTTCCCGTTTTAGCTTTGGCTCTTTTTGAACATGTAAACTTGGTTTATGGCACCATTAGTGAATTTTGTACCACTTCGGGTTGTCCCGATATGACAGGACCGGGCAACAGGTAAGTTTACTTTTTTCATATAACACAACAAATATAAACTAATTACTCTCTCTCTCTCTCTCTCTCTCCTTCTCTTAACAGAACGTACTTATGGTTTGATGAGAAAGGTAAAAAGACCCGCGTAGCGGCTCCACAATATATCGATTATGTTATGACATTTACCCAAAAAACTGTCAGCGATGAATCGATATTTCCTACCAAATATGCCAACGAATTTCCCAGTTCGTTTGAATCGATTGCCCGTAAAATTTTACGCTTGCAATTTCATGTGATAGCACATCTGTATGCGGCGCATTTCCGAGAAATCGCCCTATTGGGTTTGCATACGCACCTTAATTTAACTTTTGCCCATTTGACCGCTCTGCATAGGCGTTTTAATTTAATTGATGAAAAGGAGACCGATGTTTTACGTGATTTAGAAGTGGCTTTAAGATTAACCGATGATACCACCGGCGGTGGAAGCGGTGGCGCTGGTAGTGGTAGTTCACAAAATGATGCAACAGAAACAAATTCCTCATCGTCTGGAGGCGGCAGTGGTGGTGGCGGAGGAGGTACTGGTGGTGGCGGTGGGAGTGGTGTAGATTCAATTAAGGGGAGTTTAAACGAGGATGTCAATTCAGTGCAACACAATAATCTTATGGATTGTAATACGACGGCACAGCCTCCAATATGTACACAGCCCGAGGCCAATCTAAAGTCACAACAGTTTGGTGGCGGCGGTGGACTTATTGGTGGTATCTTAGGTGATTTAAGTAGCGGCGAATTTGGTGATACTATGCATTATTGTACTTCGGCAGTTCCTGCTTCCTCTACTACTAACAATACCTCCTCCAATCATACTTTTACTCCCAACACCTGCTCTACGAACAGCACCTGCACGACAGCCGATCAACAGTCGTCGTCGTCATCGTCTACAGTAGGGGCCGTTACGGCAAATGGTAATAATGGCGCGGGCGCTTTAAATTTTCATCTCAATAATAACAATCACTTAGCACATCATCCACATACGCACCATCCCCATCATCACCACCATCATCATCACAACAATGTGCATCACCATCATAATCATCCATATGCGCAAAATACAGGCCTAATACAGTGCAATGCTAGTAACGCTCCTACAGCAACAAATGCTACCACTTCAACAACCACAGCATAGCTGATCTAGATTAAATATATAAAATTATTATTATTATTATTAATATTATTATTATTCTTATAATTATTATTATTATTATTATTCTTTTTTTTCTGTTGTTATCTCTTTTCCTAAACAACATTAACAACAACAACATCAACTGCTACAAAAATAATAAATCAACAAACAACAACAACCACAACAAACAAATAAATTTAATAATAATAATGAAAACCCTAAACTATCTCTCCTTTATAACAAATTAAAACAAATAAACAAAACAAACAAACAAAAAAAGTAAGAAAAAAACAAACAACAAAATATTAAAATATAGTTTTAAAACAAGTTAAGAAATAAAGAAAGAAAAATAAATGTTAATTATGAAAAATTAAAAGAAAAAAAAATAAAACAAATACAAAAAAAGTAAAAAATATTAAAAAAAATTGCAAATAATGTTTTATTAGTTTTTATGAACAAGAGTATGATGAATGACTTAATTAAAACAACTACTACATACACATATGAAGCAAAATACTTACATATTTATTTGTTTAATTATGGAAATCTAAAACACACATACATACATACACCTAAAATTTTACTTTTCAATTGTATTTAGAAGATGTTTAGTTTTTAGGAAAATTTTAGTTTTTCCAAAACATTTCAGTAGTTAGGATTCGTTTATAGTTCAGTTCACAAAGGAAATGATTTGAATTTATATATTAGCGGTATTCGATGTTTACTTTTGCAAATGTTTTGTTAACGAATGTGAGCGGTTTCATTATTTGATATTTGCAATGCAATTTAAGCTTTTTAGCAGCTGTTATAAACGTCAACAATTTATGAAAGTTTATGTTTGATTTTTTAAATAATCTTTGGAAAAAGTTACCCTGAAAATTACTTCGACTGAATGTACGACGTTCGACAATTTATAAGTGGTCTCTAGATACCTAACTTTTCATCTATGTATACAACTCCAACTAAAAAAACACTTATTTGTTTAAAAAACGTACTTCATTACTTAGTGCCTCCTCCATGTAATCAAAGAACACTTATATTCCTTCTGTTGACCACTTTTTGCTTGTTTATTTCTCCTTTTAATTTAAATGGAATAATTTTTGTCTCTATTGTTTTAGTTTAATTTATTTTGTTGTTTACAATTGTCAGCTGTTATAATGAAAGAATTGCAAACGCAATAACGCACCAAAAAAAACTATACCAACAGTGTGTGTTTTGTTGTTGGATTGCATAAAAATCTATGAGATTTTGCATTTGCTCTTTTCCAAGACCATTTGCACTAAACACTGATCTCCCGTTAGGATTTGTATATCCATCAAAGGGACTGAGCAAAACTGATTCCGTATCAGGTTTTAGAATTTAATTCATTTTCAGATATCGTGTCATGAAGTTTGAAAAAAAACAGCTTTTGACCACATTTAAGGCGCTATAACAGTGCGAAGATACCTTCATTAATAAAATCTGTGTTATGTCAGCTGTAAGTCCTATAAGTCGACTTTAAAAAGAAGGTTTTACCACTATTCTTCTTCTTTCTTCGAGATAATGCCACACATTCAACACATTTTTCGAAAATAAACAAAAAATTTGCTTCTTCCATTCAAAACTTTTCTGCATTTCAATTCGAATCTAAATGTTTTTCGTTTTGCAATTTTGATATTGTTCGTAAAGCATTGAAACCGAATGCAAATGCTCCTTCTTCTTCTTACTATTCCTTGGAAACGAAATCGAAGTGCACAATAAGTAAACCTTCTATCTTTTTATGATTGTAAACCCGAACTATTATGCGATTTTAAACCAAAATCTCTAATGTTAGGCGAACTGAGATTCTCTTCATATGACCCTTTATAAAACAAAAGTAAAGTTGTTTTACCTCAAACAAATATAGATTTTAATAAAACTATTCTTAGCAAAGAAAAGCAAAAGTCTTATTATAATCCAATGAGGTGAAGATCACACCAGTTGAACTCTATTATTCGAGTTGACCAAAAATTGAGCCATGAAAGGTTTGTATTGATGTTTCAAATTTGCTATACAATACTGGGAGGTTACTCTGGTAGCACAATACAATTCATGAATTCATTATAGTACTACCCTGCCTTAGTTAAATTGTTGCTTACAGCCTCATAATGAAAAACGAGCTGCTAACTTTGTTGTGTATAAATTCCCTAAAGAGAAAAATAGCAGCTCGTTAGTTGGTAGTTAGTTTTTTATAATAAATAAGAACATTAAAGTATTTGGATTGTTTTAAATCAAAATATGTAGTTCTAAAATCACAAAAATTTCATTGCATATTGTGTAGCGTTGTGTTTATTTTGTTATAATTCAGTGGTTTTATTTTCACATACATAAGTTACTAATGTAAACATTGGTTTGTGGTTACAATTTGTCGCTAAAGTATTAAATATGTACATATATAGTAGATCTTATACTATTCAATAGTTGGGATTACCTTATTACTTTTAATACTCAACAGAATTTCAGTCTTAAGTTCTGTTAATTGCAAAAAAAAAAGAAAATAGAAAACAATTTAGAATTCCTGCTTATATATAGATTAAACAAAAACCAAAGCAGCAACAATGTGTTATTATTTCCACAACGAATTCTAGAACGTTTCGTTGAGAAGAAACACAGAATTTTTCGAAACCGTTATTGTGGATATGGATGTTCCTTTTACAGAATGGTTTTGTAATCCGTTCTTTATATAATGACTTTTGATCGAAATGATCACGCTTTAGAAGTAGTTCTAGGAAAGCTTTAGGGAATAAATACACTTATCTTTCAAATAGTTCTAGAATTAGTATTTTTATGTGATTTTTTTTATATAAAACAGTTTTAAGCAACAATTGCGCAGTTTTCGTGGTCGGATCTTATTCGTTTTCTTTAATTTGTTAAGAATTAGACATTTGATTAAATATGACAATTGACCCTTTAGATTATAATTTAAAATCTACATATAAATTTTAATTTATATTTTAAATACAATTGAAAACAACTCTCTACACACATACATACTTTGATTAAAAAACTAAAATTTGTTTAACAATTTCTTATTTTCAACGTATATACTTTTAATGGGTCGATTATGTATAACAACCGAAGTTCAGGACAAAGATTATTATTGAAAATTCAGTATTTATAAAGTTTCCAAGCTATTGCTAAAAAAATGTTCAGTATTTACATCATTTTGTCAACTGGCAACGCAACTAAAGTGTTAATCGAGATATATAATCGAACCATAAATATTTCACTAGAATTTTTTATTTATTTTTTTAACAAATACCAACTATATTCTATAAGAAACACTAAGCTTTAATAAATGTTTACTATTTTCAGTTGGATATGCAAAATTCTAAAAAGAAAAAGAAAGAAAAAACATTTACACATAAATTAAGTTAAAATCAAAATTTTCAATTCATTGTTCATTATTGATTTGTATTTTTTAAAATTTTTATTTAAATCAAGCTAATAAGTGTAAAAATTAATATGTAATTAAACGCTTTAAATGCTTGAAAATTATAAAACTTTTCAATTAAAGGAAAAATGACACCATAAAATTTTAAATAAATTCTTTTATGTAATCCTAACTTCTATTTTCAAACATGACTATTAATTATCATACATCCCAACAAACAATTTTCAATTATACGGTAAAAAAACGAATGGCAAATTCTTTTATTTAAGTTACATTTTTAATAATTCACAAATTTCCTCAACTTTTATCCCAAATTGTTGTTGTAAAGCTAATAAATTGATAATTATAAAAAAACTAAAAAAAACTTTAATAAACAAAGAAGTAGTCTGATTATAACTAAAAAAACTAAAAATATTTATAATACAACTGAAGTAACAGAACTATAAATTTATTAAATAAAACCAAATTTTTAAAAGCACTTTAAAATGTGAAAAAGCAATGGATAATAAAATTAATTGTAAACACTCTTGTTTAAAAACATTAAGACACATGATTATTATTTTGTTTACATTTTTACTTTTTCGAAAAGGATCCATTTTGTAATGTTTTTCTCTTCTTTTTAAATGCAAATAATTTTTACATATCTTTCTAAATACAACTAATGTGGAGAAAATTTGGAACAGAATAAACAGAAGCTAGACAAGAAATAGACCAATTCACTTGGGTCCATTTTTGGTTCTTTTGTATTACCCGAAACGTATCCTACCTCGACCCACCATTAAGACAATTGAGTTTTGATCCTGGGTTTCGTGGCAAACTAACTTATTGAAAAGAGTTAGTTTGCCACGAAGAAACTCCTTTCAGACAGGACCACTTCACTCGTCAGATGTGGTATTGTGTAGTATTTGATTCAGCCTGTGGCCGCGAGAATCTTAGGTTGTCATTAAATTTAGACCCAGATATCTCACCAAGGTAACTGCCAATGAGTTACTTTCTCTTAGCGGCTATAGCAGGACATTCACAGAGAAGTTAGAAGATCGTTTCTTCTTTTCCCTGTCTTTGCAACTGTGACAGCACTCATAGAAGGGGAGCTCAAGCCGAGATGAATGCCCGTCTAGCTCCTAGTGTCCTGTTATATACGCCGTCTGACTAATAGGGTAGTGATAGTTAATGCAAAAGGAGTACCGGTGACTGTCGACAAAAATTCCTAGGTTGCCACGAATGTTGAGATCGTATAGTACCCTACAGGCTGACATTTGTTGGGAAGACGGTAGTAGATATATATCCCAGCTGTAAAGATTCGGTCGTATATTCACTTGATAGATTACCCTTACTCGCTCCTAGAAGGAACTCTAGGCCCAAATTATGGCACACGATATCGATCGAAATCTCCATTTAGATTCTATTGAGATTTCGATCGATATCGTATGCCGTAATTTGGGCCCTGACTTTGAAAACTCTATTAAAAGTCCGTGTGTGGGGTAATATAGGGGGATGGTTGATTCAAGATTGGAGGTAGCAGGCCTAAAATCTTAACATGTCCGGATGCACAGATCAATCTTTAGAATGACAATTGTTTAAAACGTGCAGGACACAGAAAGAAAGTATTCGATTGTTCCTTATTCGTAATACCCGTACCGGATCCTATTTCGAAACTCCATTTAGACATTTGAGTTGCTATGGCAGGAGTTGCAGCAAACCAACCTGTAACGCAGATGTTAAATCAATCTTATGAACATCAATTTTGAAGAGATACATTATGTCGTGCATGATATAAGCAATGAAAGTGTTCGATCGTTCCTGCACAAGTTATTATAGGGAAGATATAGATAACCTCATTTCAAATAGAGTCCTCCCTCTCTTTATACAGTGATCTCTCAACACGGCTGTCAATAACCTCAGCCACTTTCACGAAAGTCTCATCAACTAGATGACCTAGCTTTGTCGAAGTGAGGCCAGAACGAGGATGACCATCTGATGTCAGCAGACCTATAAAGTTCACAATATAGAAGATATAGCCTCCTTACAAATCAGAGTCCTCCCTCTCTTTATACAGTGACCTCTCAACACGGCTGTCAATAACCGCAGCCACTTTTACGAAAGTCTCATCAACTAGACGACCTAGCTTTGTAGTAGAGGAGCATGACCATCTGGTGTCATCAGACCTATAAAGTTCACAATTACATTGTGACATTGGAGTGTGTCAGAGTGATTCGGCCAAGAGAATTTCGATTCCGAATCTCATGAAGTGTTTCCTTAAAGTTCCCTCAATATACGTAGATAATTAGATGTAAAATTTAACAAAAAATGGATCCTTTTTATGCAAAAATTTCAAATCAATTATGTATGAATGTAAAACAACTAAAACTAGTCCACACTTTTAATTAGCGAAATAAAATTAACACAATAAAAACACTTAACTCTTGGCATAAATATAAATAAAAAATTATGAAAAAACTATTTTTCTATTAAAAAAATTGTTATAAAAAAAAATGAAAACACAAAATCTTTAATAAAAAAACAAACTAAAAATGTATAATGAAAAACAAACAAAAAAATTAATAATAAAATAGTTAAGTTTTAAAATGACTATAAAGTATAAAAACAAACTGTTTCAAACTAGAAAAAAGTAAACTAAACAAAAAGTACTAAAAATCTACAATAAGATAAAAACAAAACTCTTTAATTGTTTCATATAAAAATAAATTTTAACTTCCTACTCACTAACACCCCTAAACGAACACACACCCACACGCAACCACTCTAACTATCTCTCTCTTTCATTCACAATTTGACACCAACATCACTTGTTTATAAGAAAAATAATAATAATAATTCCTCAGCCTAAAAGTATGCAATCACAATTGTTACTTAATTTATAAAATACACCCAGCAAACAAAAATAACAAATTAAATAGTTTAAGTAGTTGTAAGAAAAACACAAATATAACAAAAAGCTAAACAACAACAACAACTATTGTATTTAAAATGCAATTGTTAATAACAATTAATAAAACTACAATTAATTAAAAGAATTTTTTAATTTAATTTAAAACCAAAACAACTATAATTTTTGAAATAAAAGTATGGAGTAAAAAAGAAGAAAAAACTTGTAAAAGAAATAAATTATTGATGATTGTTTTGAAAACTTTTTAGCATTTGCCGTTCTTAATTTTTAAGCGTTAAACAAAATTTATGTAATAAATTTAATTATATTTTGCCACCAAATATAAAAATTAAAAAAAAAAACTATAAAAAACATGCAATATTTCTAGTAAATTAATTCTAAAATGTGTATTTTTATTAGTGCAAAATTCTGAATAAAAAAACATAAATAAATTTACCAAAAACAAAGAACGTAATGCTAACAAACACTTACATACTTGCTTATATACATGTATATATGTATAAGGCATACATACATACTTACAAACATATGTTATTATATATTTAGTAATATACAAAAACAAAATTAAATTACTTAACATATTAAATTATAAGTTTACACCAAATACAAACATATATACAAACACTATTATATAAAAAAACACACATATACATACATATTAACATTAATACATAACTAACTACATAAATACATTACTACATAACATATAAACACAAATATAAAAAAATACATAATGTTTAATTATAACAACAACAATAATAATAAAAGAAGAAAAATTTAAAAACAAAATAAACGAAATTGTAAAACATTGCTGAGTTTTAATAACAAATAATGAATAAAATGAAAATGTGTTATATTAAAAATACAAAAAAAATATCCCATTGTGTTTAACTAAGGAGTAACGAAGAATAGATGGAAGTGTCTATATTTCCAACTAGGGATGATGATTGGATTGTATCCGATAGACTGTTTGGTGGGTGTGCAGTTTTCACTGACGGGTCCAAGATGGTTACCGGCACTCCCTGACGAATGTAGTCATCCCTATTCTACATTTCAATTCGAATCGAAATTTTCTCCATTTGGCAACTTTGGTATACTGCTCCGCCACTAAAATAACAACTTACAAAAACAGAGTTACGATCGTAATGCAGAATCCACACAATCGTAAAGCATTGAAATAAAATAGAATTACTTCTTCTTTTTCTTACGATTCCGTTATTTGTTTCGATCGTAGCGTAACTGAATGCGGAAACGTAATCGAAATGCAGAATACGAGTGTCTGCCAAACAGAGATCCTAGCGATCTGGAATGTGACGTAACTGATACGGAATCATATTGATTCGGAGTCAGTTGTATAAATTTTTGTTGATAGTTAGAGCATTGGCTTGTCACACGGTACATTCGCGCCTGATTGTAGATTGTATAAATACCCTTAGGGACATTATGAGACTGTTTGCCATTATATTGTGTTGGTTGCCGGGGCACTGTAATGTGCATGGTAATGAGGTTACGGACGAACTGGCTAGATTAGGTTCGAAACTTGTTATAGATGACAGGGAAATGATGGTAAAACCGGCCATTTGTCACTATTATAGGTTGATAGAAGAATCCCTATCATCCCTATCAGTGTTTATCTATGTGTTTATCCATTCCTATAAGTATTTCGGTAGCACTCATATTAAGTGTTTACAATAGGACATTTGATACTTTGCAATCCAATCTACTATTCCAGGACTGGTTTACGATGAGTCCGAGAATAGTAGATTGAATTGCAAAGTATGCCCTATGGCCAACACTTAATATGGAAGCTACCAAAATACTTATAGGACTGGATAAACACAGTCTAAGGATTCTGATAGCTATGCTAATGGGGCATTGGTCAGTTAGGGCCTTTGTCAGTAAGTGGATCAGTAATATACCTGACAACTGCCGGTTATGCGAAGATGAGGAGGAAGTAGCGACAATCGAGCATATCATATCAGACTGAAATGACTAGGGAATAAGTTCCATGACGAACCGGGGGAATTTTCGGTTCTACTAGGTTTTGTCAAGGGAATTAGTCACTTCTTCGAACGGTCTTTATAGGGAGACATATATTTTCTCTCTCATTATTATATTCTTTAGCGTATCGACTTGGTAAATCTTCTTTTATTACTTTAATAGGGAGAAAATAGTTCCATAAGGGGAGAAAACATGAAATTTGATTTTATTAAAACTTATAGAGTCAATTTTAATAAAAATTTAGAAATTGGTAGTTTAGTAACACTCTACATGCTAATGGGGTGTTACATGGAATTCCGGTACCACGGACTAATTTTTGGTACTTTTTATGTTTTTCGCTCTTCAAAAGGTCTTTCTGGATTTTCTATAATATTAAACCTAGAACGATGAAATTAAACATTTAACATCTTTAGTTAATGCAATTCTGTAGAAAGGAGTTTTGGTACTTTTTTGTTCTACAACAGGTATTTTTTGAGTTTTTATACCCTAAACCACTATTGTAGGGAGCGTCTTGTGCTGATGTTTGTAACACCCAAGAATAATGGAACTACATCAATCTACACCTAAGTATACCAATCGACACAGAATCACTTTCTGAGTCGATTTAGCTATGTCCGTATGTGTGACCATGTAAACCTTGTGTGCATTCTAGAGGTCGCAGTTTTTAAGATAATTTGATGAAATTTGAAAATGGTTGAAGTCGGGACATTATTTCGCACAGCCCCCATACAACTGTGATAAATTTCAATTAAATCTAAGACCGTGTTGGATTGTAAGCACTGTTGCCAGATTTGACGATTTATCGTCATTTTGACGATTTTCACTGTCAAAAATGGCCTGTTGACGATTTGACGGTTTTAACTCTAAATTTGACGATTTTTTAAAATAGGATTTTTGTACTAATTTTAATACATTTTATCATTTTTCTGCCTATAATTTTTAAGAATATCGACGTATTTAGAATATCAAATGAAAATGTTAATAAAATGAAACATTATAATGTTTTAGAGAATGTCCATTGATCGAATGAATTACGTAATAACGAACTCAAAAATGTTTGAGAATTTCTCTTTTTTTGGACCAGCACTTAGGGGTTATTGGATCTAGAATAATTGGTAGTGGGAAGAAGGATAGAGGAAGTAGTATTTTTGGAAGATCGTCGTGCGTCGTTGCCATTATCGCTTAAGGGGAATCAGGACGTTCTTTTTGCTCTGCCGCATTGGTCAAATGTGTGTTTTGTTACGGTTTTTTGAAGTGCATGTTGACCATATGTATTCGTGTTAACTTAACCTAAGTTTTAATTTTGATTATGGTGGAGAACCAAAAAAACTCAATTTGATATTCTGTCCAGTCGTACTGGAATAATTGGTGTTGGCGTTATAATCTTTCGATTCGGCCAAGAAGTCTTAGCTGCAGATGCAGCTAAGCAAACTTAAAGTACAAACAAACAAAACTAAAATCTATTTCTCGATAGTTAAAATAATCACTATGAAATCGTACAAATACCATCAAACATGTAAATGGAAAATAGCTTTGACGATTTAATGACGATTTCGAAACATCAGTTGACGATTTTGACGATTTTTTCCTCGAAATTTGACGATTTTACACCCAAATCATCTGGCAACTATGATTGTAAGACATCTTTAACTGAATACTCTCCCAGAGGTAAGGTTTACAGGCCACTCGGGAGTAATCGGCAACGAAATGGCGAATGTAATAGCTTTAAAGGGAAAGGAGGTGGAGGTAGTTAACCTGACAAACGCAAAACCATTCAACTCAACAA